ACACAGGAGTACGCCCGCCAGGTTTTACTTGAATCGGACCCCTACCTCACACCTGCCGCCTGCGCGGCACTCATGCCACCTTCCCCTGTCCCACTCCTAGGCGCCCCCCCACCCGCCCAGTACCCGCCAGTACAGACGGAGCGGTATCCGACGCGTATGTTTCTGACCGAGCAGTATACACATGCAGCTGCTCAGGTTCTGCCGTCAGCGATCCGACGGTCATTGTACTACATACTAACCCTATACTGTGGGAGGCGCCGTCCTGGGGATATTCAGGCTTGCTTAGAAATGGAGGAGTACCATACCGATTTCGCCGTATACGTACTTTCGATCGATATCGCTATCGATCCCGTTCTTGGCAATATGATGCGTCGTGAATCCCTAGACATTTGGAAGGAACACATTCGGGCCAAACGTGTTGCGCTGTCAGGAGGAGGGCCCCCGTGCGAAACATGGGCTGCCATACGCTGGGCCCTTGACAAGGGCCCCCCACCACTACGTTCCCACGACGATTTCTGGGGCCTGCTATCGGTTACACCGCGCCAGATGGAACAGCTACGTGTGGGCAATGAGCTCCTTGGAGCCATGATTGAGCTTTTCGCCGAACATTTGATTGTGGGCACTTGCTGCTGGATGGAGCATCCCATGCCAGCCGACTGGAGACAGGCAGCTGTGAGTTCTTTCTTTTGCCCCCCCCTACGGGCCATCATGGCCTCCCCAGCCGCGACCGTGACAGACTTCGACCAATGCGAACACGGCCAGGTTGCTCGAGCTCCCACCCGTATTCTGGCGCTGCGGATGGAAACCCTTTCTGGTAGGCTTCTGGAGACCCCAGGTCGTGGAATATGTTCTCACGGACGGGGGGCCCACGAGGTGCTCATGGGGTTCGATCGGGCCCGAGACGAGTGGCGTACTGCCAAGAAGAAGACATACCCTCCTGTTCTATGTCGAGTATTGGCCGACGGTATCACAGACGCGATCAGCCATCTGTGTGTGACGTGTGACGACGATACACTGCCAGAGGACATGAGGGACGAGGAGGGGGAGTTCCGTGGGTCCCTGCCAGCTTTTTATGTGGCATGGGACCCATATCTCGGTACTGACGAGTCTTGGGCGCCCGATTTTGTCGATTCTCGGTCCCGGAAGGTGCGTGCCGATCCAGAGCGCCACAGGTTCCTCCCCCCCGCATCGCCAGCCACCGAGTTTGCAGACGCAGGCGTTGTGTATGATTCCACTGCGGAGCCGCGGGACCCCGGCCCGATCGAGGCCTCAGAGGAACAGGAATATGCAGATGTACTTGCTTTCCTGGATGGCATTGAGTTGCCACCACCTGGCTCGCTTGCTCCGCCCCTTGTACCCGTTTCCCAATCTCCGTGTCCCCCGCCGCCCCCACAGCCCGTTGAGATCACACCAGAGCTGCGTACCCTAATTGCTGCCAAGCGTGCGCAAGCTAGAGAGCGACGTCGGATTCGACTCGCTCAGCGAATAGCCCCATGGACTTTCCAACCCGGTTTCGGGGTAGGGCTGTTTGATAATGCGCATGAGTAAATAGGATGTTGGGTGGAGGGCCTCAGGTGTAGGTAGTGGATGGGCAAGGGATTGCTTTCTCAGTCAGGCACTTTGTCAGCCCTGGCTTTGCTTTCACAAATGTTTCGTCTTTGAGCCTTGCGTTGCCTCTTTCATCTCACCTTATTAGATGCTCACAGACACCCGCGCCACGCACACGGCACTTGGGTGGACCACCGTCTTGGGTGGTGACAGGCTAGCAGGCTGACAGTGGGGTACTTGTGCGGCCGTGCTTTGATCTCTCCGCCTATGTTGCCAGTGTATCGAGCTTTGCGAAGACCTTGCTTGTGGCTGGTGCTATGGTTAATGCGTGCCCTCCTCGTTTGGATAGCCCCGTGGTGGTATACAGATAACCCCCAGCTCAACCGTCAGTTTCGAGCTGAGCTGGAATCACGTCCGCTGAATGAGCTTGCATTCCATAGCCGTCTGACCTCCAGAGTTGCGCCACAGTAGGCCTAACTTTCGTGTGGATCAGTTTTGCTGCAGACAGCCTCTCTTGGACCATGGATGTGTGTCTGTCGGCCACCTTCAGTTTCCAGGAGTATCCGATTGCAGCAGTTTCAGGTGATTTTTGTAGTATGGAGGGAACGTTGGGCGATGGGATTGGTTGGTCGGGCAGCGGAGGTTTTAGCAGCGAGGCAGTGTAGCAACAGTCAGAGAGAGCGGCAGCCCGTCTCTCTTGCTCTCTCGTGCGCACGCCTGCCTGCATGTGCTGTCCCGCCCGCTTGCCCACTCTCTCGCTGACAATAAATTTCAGACAGTGCGTAACAGGTTTCACTGAAAGCAATTGACGTGCGCAACTGTCGACAGCTCGAGCGTCAGCGTGGTCGGCCGAACCGAGGGTCGAACCGTGAGGGGAGGGGGCCATAGTGGGCGCTCCGAAAGGAACTCGCGAAGCCCCCGCCCCACAGCGGCGCTCGCCGAGGTAAAGTCGTTGAGTGCAGCTGTTTTGAGAGCTGACAGCGGTCGAGGAGATCGCAACATGTATTCGGGAGGGGGTGGAGTATGTCAGGCTGGGCGGACGTGCTGAGTTCAGAGAGGCATGTGCCTGCCTCTCTTGCTTCTTTCCGCCGCCGCCTGCTTGCCACCCGCTCGCCTGCTCTCTCTCCACCGTCAACCTGGACAGAGGTGCGCCCCCTCGCGTTTCTGTCACCGACCGACTATCAAGCTTCAAGCCTTGGCCCGTGGGGGGCAGCGGCAGGGGGCTCGGTGAGCGTAGTCCGTCGCTAACCACGCACCCGTTGCGTGTGGCACCGAGCCCCCGAGTGTCCGTCGGTCCGCGCGTCGCCAGCCAGGCGCTCATGCGGCTGCACGCCGCAGCCCCCGCTTGCCGCCAGCCTTTCTTGCTTTTGTCTTGCAGATAAGGATGGGGGTGGGAGTGGCCGGTAGTTTTGAGGAGGGGTTAAGTCAGCGAGTACATCTCTGTCAAGCGTGTTGTCCTGGTGCTGCCAGGGTTACACCGAAAGCAACCGTGCAGGATTGCCCACCCTGGCCGCCGCCACTTCCTGGCTACGGCTGAAAGTTTCAATCCTTTGCCGCCTAGTACCAGACGCTCTGCGTCCACATTGCTGCCTCGCACCCAGTCGTGCGCGCAGTTAATACTATGGGACTGGGTGGGATTCATGGGATTTGGCAGGTTGGTTGGAGGAAGTTACTGTCTGACTTGACTTCAGGTGCCCGTGCAGAGTTTGCGAGTTTCGCCTCTTAGTACAGCCACACGAGTTGACTGTGCTGACTGCCTCTGCTAGCAGCAGCGCCGCCATTAGCTGACAGGCCATACGCTTCATCAGCAGCGCAATCCAAAAAATCCTCGTCGTTGTCGTCGTTGTCGCCGTCGTCGTGCTCCCTCCTCGCTCGTCGTCGTCGTCTTCGTTGGCGACGTCGTCGTCGGCGTCGGCGTCGGCGTCGGCGTCGTCGTCGTCGACGTCGGCGTCGTCGTCGTCGCCGCCGTCGTCGTCGTCGACGTCGTCGTCGTCGGCGTCGTCGACGTCGTAGTCGTCGTCGGCGTCGTCGTCGTCGTTGTCGTCATCGTCGTCGTCGTTGTCGTCGTCGTCGGCGTCGGCGTCGTCGTCGTCGGTGTCGTCGTCGTCGTCGTTGTCGTCGTCGTCGAAGTCGTCGGAGACGTCGTCGGTGTCGTCGTAGTCGGCGTTGTCGTCGTCGTCGTCGGCGCCGGTGTCGTTGCCAAGTGCCATGTGGAACCTACCGTCACGGTCTTAAGAGGTTTTGCAAACCAAGTTGCGGGTGGGTGGGTGGGATGTTTGCAAGAGCATGAGATGTGTCACATCATGGGTAGGAATCAATTGCACAACATAGATTGTACCACACATCTTGCACCACATTGCTTGCTCCACATAGTTTTCGCCAGATACATCGCACCACATAGTTTGCACGACAGAGATTGCACCACATCGACTGCACAACATCGATTGCACCACATAGTTTGCACCATGTAGATCACTCCACATATATCGCACAACGCGTACTGCTGGAAGCACTGTTCGGGGTCCACGCTGGCTACACACCTAGACGTGTCCGGAGGCTGGGCCAGGCTTTTCGCCTGAGACGTCCTCACCGTGTATGATCTTGGAGCTTGAAATTTGCAACATCTTCAAGGACGGAGGAGGGTGGTTTTAAACATGTGGTTCTCGTCTTAGCGCCGCGCATATTCGACAGTGCGCAGCAGTTTCAAGAATGGATGGGGTTCGGGAATTTCACTCGCCACGCGCAGTCGTTTTGAACATTTGCATCCGCTTGCAGGATGGGGGGGGCCCGTTTTCAGTGTTAGCGCCGCGCACGTTCATTGAAACAATTGTAGCGGCTACAAGGATCGAGGCTGGCTCATTTTCAAATTGTTGCTTTGGCCTTAGCGCCACGCACCTTCGTCTTGACAGTTTGCAGCAGCTTCGAGGGTTCATAGCGTTGAAGTCGCAGGAATGGCGTTCTCGCGCGACCTAGGGTTTTCAGGACGCAGCAGTCACGCGGATTTGCGGTATTGAAGTCCCAGAGATTGCATTCTGGCACGACCTGGAAAGGTCAATACGTGACAGTCACCTTGATTCACGGTGTCGGAATCCCGGACCTGGATGTTCTGGCACAGATTCCGACGGTCAAGATTTTTTGGAAGTTTGAGGGTAGCCAGATCATTTCAAATTATAATGTAAGATTGGTGTTTCAAGGTGCTTGATCTTCCCGGCATCCCAGCTTATGTCCAATCAGATATATGTATTGTTTTTTCCAGTCCTGGCGATGCACGAACCAAATTCTTGCAAAAGAATTTGAGAAGAGGGAACTTGAGCGAGGGTTTATTGCAGCATTCTTGACGCGCCTTGGGTTTACACTGGTTCTCCCCCTCTTCCTCTCGCCCTCACCGAGCGCTCCTCCTGGCGTCTCCAGAGGCCCGCGTGCGGCGCGTCGCTGACCTGCTGCGCGGCGAGGGCCAGAAACTCAGGATGTCGGCGGCCCCCCACCCCAGGGTGTCGCGGAAAAGTCACGGCATGACACGGCAGGTCTCTTACAGTTCTGAAGTGGCCAGGGAAGGAGGAAACATTGGCGGCAACGGAACGCAGGGACAATCGGTGGCAAGACCCACGAGGAGAAGCTTCAGCATCGGAGAACAGCGGGGCCAAGGACAGTCGGGAACAGTCGACAACATGGACACTGGCGGAGACAGAGGACGGCGCCAAGGCCTGGGACAATCGTTGGTGTCTGTTGCCGGAATCGTTGGTGCCGCCAGGTCTTTTACAGTTCGTTGGCTCATGGAGGTCCCCTCGCCTAGTAGGGAGGCTATCCAGCAGTCGCGTCTCACCGAGAGCGTTAGGGGGGCGCCTGGATCGGCCCGAGCCGAACGACCGCTGGAGGCCCAAGCTATAGTCCGAGGGCTACTGGGTCCACACCTCTTCGCGCCGTGCAAGTATCGAGCAGCTTTCGGCCTCCGGGGGCCCTGCCTGGTCCCCGGACCGTCCAAAAACCAAAAACGATTCGGGATGAGAAGCCAGCCCCGGGGAAACAAGGGTCGGATCGGGACTCCCGGGGACTCAAGGCGTGCCAGGAGGGGCCTCGCCTTCGGCGCAGAGCCTCGCCCGTTGGACGGGGCAAGCCGGTGGACGTCGAGCGAAAGGCCGCTCCGCCAGCGGAAGCAGGCGGAGTGTGGGCGGAAGGCGGCGAATGTGTAACAGCGAGCCGTCATTATGTTTGTCCACTTCGATCCGATCGGTCTGGTGCCATGCACCTATCCTTGTGGAGGACGATCTATGGAGAGGGAGCATGTTGCCGAATCATTTCCAGATGTCTAACAGATGTTTCAAACATGTTTAAATATGTAAAGCCCATGTTTTACACATGTTTAGAGCTTGTTTAACACACTTTAAGCACACATTTAATTCAATGATAGGATTATTCGAGTGTCCATTGTCATGGCATCCACAAACCTATCCGGGCCAGCCTGGTCCTGTTGATTCCGGCATTCTGGCGGTCCAGTGCGGCCCGATGCTCGCACGGCGGTGCTGTGCATCCTGTCGCGGCCCGATTCGATGCACGCCCCGACCTGGTCAGATTTGTCGACTCGATGACGGCCGCTCCTACCCTCGTCATGGTCGGGAGGGCAAAGGGGTCTTGAGGCAGGGACCGTAACACACGCTTACGGCGATGTAGGTCCCGGCGATGTAGGTTTCGGTATTCTAGGTGGGGGTGGGTCGTGGCCAACCCAATCGCAGGAAAGTGCTGTTCGTGTTTTTCTATCTCTTCTGCGCGAGTTCGGCGTCGCAATATCCGAAAGAGCGTGTTCTACCACTGCTGGCGGAAAACCGGGGGGGGGTCACTACCGGTTCGAACCCCTTCCCCCCCCCCCCCTCCGGAAAACGGGGGGGGTCACTACCGGTTCGAACCCCTCCCCACCCCCAGCTCATCATGAAAAGGGGGGGGGGTCACTACCGGTTCGAACCCCCCCCCCCCCCGAACTCGAAAACCGGGGGGGGTCACTACCGGTTCGAACCCCTCCCCCCCCCCCCCCTCGAAAACCGAGGGGGGGTGCGGACAGTGGTGGGGACGGTGGTGGTGGGGACAGTGGTGAGGGGACAGCGGGACAGTGGTGGGGACAGTGGGACAGTGGTGGGGACGGTAGTGGTGGGGACAATGGTGAGGACAATGGTGGGAACAGTGGGGACAGTGGGACAGTGGTGGGGACGGTGGTGGTGGGGACAGTGGTGTGGGGACAGTGGGAATGTGGTGGAAACAGTAGGACAGTGGAGGGTACAGTGGTGGTGGGGACAGTGGTGAAGGCGGTGGCGAGGACGGCGGTGGGGCAATGGGACAGAGGTACAGTGGGGACAGTGGTGGGGACAGTGGGGACAGTGGTGGGAACAGTGGGACAGCTCAGTGGAACAGCGGAGGAGTCAGTGGGACAGTGGGGACACTGGGGATAGTCGGGCAGTGGTTGGGGCCGTGGAGAAAGTTGGGAGAGTGGAGCCGTGGTGGGAACAGTGGTGGGGACAGTGGGGACAGTGCGACAGTGGTGGTGGCACTGGTGGGGACAGTAGGGGCGGTGGTGGAACCAGTGGGGACAGTGGTGGTGAGGACAGTGGTGCTGGGAACAACAGTGGGGGATGTGGTGAGGACGACGGTGGTAGGGACCGGGAGTCGTTTGCTGGCGGTGAGAGGGGTGGGTGGGGAGGGGGTCGAACCGGTAGTGATCCCCCCCTCCGGTTTTCGAGGGGGGGAGGGGTTCGAGCCGGTAGTGACCCCCTCCGGTTTTCGAGGGGGAGGGGGGGGGGAGGGGTTAGGGGAGGGGGGGAATTTTGCCGGGGGAGAGAGGGGGGGGGGGGGGAAGGGTTCCAACAGGGGGGGGTTTCGGAGGGGGGGGGGGACCCCCGGGTTCCGGAGGAAAAGGGCGGCAATTTTCCACAGTAAAGCGGCGGTGGATCACGCTCTCTCCAACATCCAGATTCCCAGCATCGCCGTTGGCCAACATCGCCGTTAACCAATATCGCCGTTAGCGTGGCCTTGGAGGGACAGGGAGTCGTAAAGGTTTGTCGCCATTTTCGGCGTCCCGGGCACCTTCCCTCAGTCCCTCCCCCAGGACCGTCAGAGCACGATTCAGAATGGACACGAAGCCCCCAGGTCTTGGACCCGCTCCATCGGGGCCCCTGCGCCGTGCCTGCATGTCAAACAGGAGGAGAAGGAACGAGAAAGAGGCTCTGTTTTATCCCCAACCATCCTGTGGTGTTGAGTCCTCGCTTTGCAGAGACAGCGCCCCACGTCTTCCTCATCCTCCTTTTGGGTTGCTCGGACATTGATCGAGTGATCGCTGCGTCTTCATGGCGTCGGAGAAAATGAGAGCCGACTTAGGCCTGCAGGCGAACGAACTGCAACTGTCGGGCGCAGCAGAGAACGGATGGCCGCGAGGGATAAAGTCAACGCAGGTGGGCCCACAAGGGCACAGAGTATGCGCCAGCCAGGCGGTAAGGTGGAGAGAGGGGAGGCAATAATCAAATACATCAGTTACTATAACCGAGGAGCGAACCGAACGATAAAGGGAGCGAGATACGTGTGACAGTAGGCGGCCTGCCACGTGATGTAGTCGTAGCACAAAACTGATCGCAGGCGGCCGTAAAGCAAGGAGTAGCGCTGCAATGCCTGGTGTTACCCTGGTCCTCCACCCCCGACAACCCCGCCCCCACCCAGCAAAGCAAATCAAGGCTAGCAGTAACCAGTGTGTGATGCGCGGCAGGAGTAACAAATAACAGAGCAAGCGACGTAAGGTTACGCAGTGGGATAAATAGATCGGCAACGACGTTGGCGGTGAGCAGTAAGGCAGAGTTCGAGTAAACTGAAGTGTGCCGTTGTCGGAAGTCCACATTGGGAAGAACCATGGGGCTCTTCCCCAACCGACGTGCCAGCATGGCAGCAAGCAGCAAACATCACTAGGATGGAACAGGGAAATATGCAGCGAGAAGGTGAGGGCGTTGAAGATGTGGTTCCTTGGGTGGTGCAGGGTCCTTGAGCAGGGAGTGCCTGCACACAGAGAGCCAAGGCGGGGTGCCTCCGAGAACATCCCAACCCACCAATGTCACCCAACTCCCATACCCAACCCACCCCGACTCCGACCCCTCTGTAGAGTCAGAATCAGTATCGCAAGTGCTGGCAACGGACGAAGATTAGTAGAGGAGGAAAGCTGCTGCCTGTACCTGCCATGGTTGGTCCAAAGGCTGAGGAACGCCCATGAGTTCCTTTACAATGCCATGGATCGCGGTCGGACAACAAAGCGTCCAGGGACGGCTCGTCTACACTGCGAGTGTTGAAGTGGCCTTCTTTGCCAAATTATTGGATGAACCAATCAATAAGGAGGGGCGTAGTCAAGTTAATACGTATCTGCATGTGAGGTCTTGCTTCCGTGAGGGTTATCCTACGTGATGCATTCAGGCGCGCGATCTTTTCATTCATGGCCGCTGGTACGGAAGAGGCGCTCCAGGATGCGAATGTTTAGCAGTGCGTGTACAGGTTCATGGTTTGGTGGGTGGGCTGGAATGATCGCGTGCCGCGGAAAATCCTTGTCTCTACTGTGCCCGATTCATGGACGTGTAGTGTTTTGCTTCCTTTGCCGTGCTGACGTAGGACCGGACCGCACCAAACCGTATCCGATTCCGGCAGGCCACCATGCTACCTCCTCCTCCTCCTCCTCTTCCTCTTCTTCCTCCTCCTCCTCCTCCTCCTCCTCCTCCTCCTCCTACCAGGGGACGTTGAGCGATTCTCTCCCCGGGGCCGAGGTCAGAACGGGGTTCGCGCCCCTGCCCTCTCTCCCTCCCCCTAACACCTAGGGTGGCACCCAGCAGCGAGGCACCATGTGGCCCCAGACCGCGCAGACGGCAGGAGGAGGAAAAGGAGGAGGAGGAGGAGGAAAGGAGAGAAGGGGGAGCAGGAGGAGGAGGGGGAAGAGGAGGAGGAGGAGGACGAGGAGGAGGAGGGATGAGGAGGGAGGAGGACGCCAGCCACGACAGGGCACGAACGACACGGCACCGTGCAGATCCGTGCAGCGCAAGTAGACAGCAGTACGGACTGCCGCACTGCCGCGCCCGGTCGACCTCCTCCCGCCCCTCCTCGTCGTCGCCCGCCGGTTGCCCGCGGAGGAGCACGGCGCTGGTGGCCCTCGCGCTCGACCTTGGGGTCGACCCCTTCGCGAAAGTAAAGGAGCGCCTCCCCCTCATGCTGTCTTCGTCCCTCCTTTCCTTGTCCAGCCCGTCCTGGCCCCGTCGTGCCCTGTCCCCTCCTCCGCCCGCTCCCCGCCCTCCTCGTCCCCCCTCCGCCCCGCCCTCCACTGCTGTTCACTCCCTCTCCCTCTCTCGAGCGTGTTTTTCTTAATCCTCTGGGCCATCACGCGCGTTGTGTCCTCCCTCCCCCCTTATAACATAACCCGCCCCGTATTTGGTGGTACTTGCAGGCTACTTTTACGTTCACGGCCTAGCGTGGCGTTGACAGGCTTATTGCTCGTGCTCGCAGACATGAACATGGTGCTGCGCTCGCAGGTTATGAGCGCACGTGCAGGGTCCATAAGTTTTTGCGCACGCGTGCGGGGTTCACTCAGTAGTTTGGTTCTGGCAGGGCCGCGAGAGTTGTGGTAGTGACATTGGTAGCAGAAGTAGTGGCACCAGTCGCAGCTATGAAATGAATGTAAAGAGGAGGATGAGGAGGAGGAGGAGGAGCAGGAGGAGGAGGAGGAGGAGTTGGATGGGGTCACGGGGTGTCCTTGTAATCATCGTCGTGGTTGTCTTGTGGTCGTGGTGATCTTTGTTATGTGTGTCGAAATTGTTGTCGTCGAAATCGCCATGGTCGTCGTGTTCATGTTGGTCGTAGTAGCGATAGCCGTCGTCGGCGTGCGGTCATCGTTGTGACCGTCGTCGTGACAGTCGCAGTCGTCGTAGTACTTGTAATTGTCGCGATCGTCGTCATAGTTGTCGTGATCGTCGTCGCGGTCGTCACCGCGGTCGTCGTCATGTGGTCGTCGGGATCGGAGTCGCAATAGCCGTCTTGGGTGGCGTTGACTTCCTGAGTGTGGTTATTGTTGTCGTCGCGATCGTCGTCACGATCGTTGAAGTAGTTGTCGTCGTCGTTGTCGGAGGTTGGGGGGTGAGATCGAAGTGGAACGGAGAGCCTCCCACCGGGAAATCGGTTTCGGTTTCGTGTTCGTGCGTGCCGTGCGTGCGGGCGAGGCGAAGCTGCGTGGGCGGGCGGGAGGAAAGTCTCCTGTGGCTGAGGCGCGGCTGGACCAAATGATTCTCCCTCCGGCAAGCGGTGGCGCGCGGTGTCCCGCCGGTGTCCCGCCGGTGTCCCGCTTGTGGCTGGGCCCCGGCTGGACCAAATGATTCTCCTTCCGGCAAGCGGTGGCGCGCGGTGTCCCGCCGGTGTCCCGGTGTCCCGCTGGTGCGAAAACGATAGTGAGACCGATAGTGAGATCGATCGTGAGATGGATAGGGAGATCGATAGTGAGATTAATAGTGATATCGATTGTGAGATGGATAGGGAGATCGATAGTGAGATTAATGGTGATGTCGATTGTGAGATCGAGTGATCTCGATAGGGAGATCGTTAGTGGGATCGATAGCGAGATCCAGAGTGAGATCGACAGTGAAATCGATCGAGTGAGATCGATAGTGAGATTGATCGAGTGAGATCGATAGTGGGATCGATGGTCTCATCGATCGCGAGACCGATAACGACATCGCTTGTGAGATCGATAGAGAGATCGCTTGTGAGATCGATGGTGAGATCGATCGTGAGACCGATAACGACATCGCTTGTGAGATCGATATAGAGATCGATAGTGAGATCGATGGATACCAAGGCGCCCAAGAGCGAAGGATGACGTAAACAACTCTACACCAAGGCTCCCAAGAGCGAGCGGCAACGCAACAACCACCACTGTTGCCCATTGCTGGCCCTCCTCCCCCCCCAACCTCCTTATCACCCGCAGGGTGGTCGTATAGGTAGTTATAGATCGTGGGTGGTTGTATTATTACAGCGATCTGTATGCGCTTTTACCTCAAGCTCTTTAAGCAGGTCTTCTTATGATGGCCGAAAACAAAGCACAACCATCACTTCTCGGAGCTCCTTGGGGATTTCTGGGATCGGCGCTGTGTTCCCCTGGCGGCGTCTCTGGCGCCGCACCTGGCGCGGCCCGCGCGGCAGGGAGGAGGGTTCAGCGCAGATCCAAGAAATCCGCGCAGGCGCTGCGGTGAACGCGGCTGCTGTGGTGCACGCAGGCGCTGTGGTGCACGCAAGTATTGTGGTGCAGGCGTGCAGCACGCATCGGAAACAGGCATTGCGGTACAGATTTGGGACATTTGTTTTTCGTTCTTCGGTTTGGGAGGCGGTAGAAGCAGACTCATGTAGCACCCCCTACTGTGCAACGTGAGCGCAAGACAGCGGCAGCAAACACCAGCACAAATAGTGCCCGAAGGGGAGTGTGGAGGATGCAAACACCGTGGTGCTGCACGATGCTGCACGCGTGCGCTGCGCAGCACAGCTGCGATGTGGGGCGCGTGGCCGCGGCGGTGCGTGCTGTGCTGCGCATCGTGGTGCCTCCCGTGACGCGCGCAGGCGCTGTGGTGCTGGGGAGCCACACGGCCGGCGGGGGGTGGGCGTTATGTTAAGCCCCTCCCCTCCCCCCCTTAACGCTTGTTATGGCCGCGAAGATCAAACGCGCTCCTCCCTCCCACCGCCCCTCGTCGTCGCCCCATCCACCCCCTTCCCTCCACCTCACTGCCGCCTCCTCATGCTCATCCCTCCATCCTTTCACTGATCATCCTCATCTCTCGTCCTCCCCCCCTCCCTGCATCTCCCGCTCTCTCCCTCCCCTCCTTGACCTCCACGTCCTCCTCCCCGTCCTCCTCCTCCCACTTCTTTTTCCTGCCCCATCCCCCCCCACCTTTCCAGGTAGTGGGGTGGCAGGGGTCATTGGATTTTTTTTCGCCAAGGGCTTCGGGTACTCTGGTGTCCTTTGGGCTGCCGGATGAGGGCCCTGTGCGCGCTAGTGACGAGCAGGAGTGAGGCATTCATTTAGAAGAGGAATCTAAGGTTTTCTATGTCTACGGCACATCCGCCGATTTTTACCTAACAGCGAAGACAGACAGGTTTCTAGTGGTCTCAAAAGAGAGCATCATGACTCCCCAGGTGGGTCTGGGCAGATGCCGGATGGGTGCCGCGGGAATCCGGGGACTCCCGATTTTCATTGCCAGGAGCCACATTTTGACTGCGCGGAGCCAACAGAACACCACTCCCAGGCCACATTTTGAATGCCCAGAGCCAACTGTAGGCCACTTCGTGTTCTTCGTGCTCCCAGAACACCATTCCCAGGCCACATTTTGAATGCCAGGAGCCAATTGTAGGCCACTTCGTGTTCTTCGTGTTCCCAGAACACAATTCCCAGGCCACAGTTTGAATGCCCGGAGCCAATTGTAGACCACTTCGTGTTCTTCGTGTTCCCAGAACACAACTCCCAGGCTAATTTTGAATGCCAGGAGCCAACTGTAGGCCACTTCGTGTTCTTCGTGTTCCCAGAGCATCATTCCTGCACCATATTTTGATTGCCCGGAGCCAACTGTGGGCCACTTCGTGATCTTCGTGTTCCCAGAACACCAGTCTGTCCTTCTTTTTTTTGTCTTTTACGTTTTTTTTTTCCTTTGTGCCACTATTTTTGAACATTGCCCGAGCTGAGCAGGCTGAGGCGAGGGAGGCTGAGGCCGAGGGCAGGCGAGGCTGAGGCTGAGGCACGCCGAGGCAGGCTGAGGCCGAGGCACCGAGGCAGACTGAGGCTGAGCAGGCTGAGGTGAGGCAGGCTGAGGCTGAGGCTGACGCAGGCTGAGGCCGAGGGGCAGGCTAGAGGCTTAGGTGAGGCTGGCTGAGGCTGAGGCAGGCTGAGGCTGAGGCCGAGGCAGGCTGAGGCTGACGGCTGAGCCGAGGCAGGGTGAGGCTGCAGCGAGCCCGAGGCCAAGCCGAGACCACACCACAGGCTGCAGGCTGAGGCTGAGGTGAGGCTGAAGGCAGACTGAGGCTGAGGCTGAAGCAGGCTGAGGCTGAGGCTGAGGCAGGCTGAGGCTGAGGCAGGCTGAGGCTGAGGCCGAGGCAGGCTCAGGCCGAGACAGGCTGTGGCTGAGACTGAGGCTGAGGCTGAGGATGAGGCCGAGGCAGGCCGAAGCTGAGACAAGGTGAGGCTGAATGGGGGGGGGGAAGGGGGGGAGGAGGGGAGGCTGAGGCAGGCTGAGGCCGAGGCAGGCTGAGGCCGAGGCAGGCTGAGGCTGAGGCTGAGGCAAGCCGAGGCAGGCTGAGGCCGAGGCAGGCTGCGGGCTGAGGCTGAGCAGCACGCCGCGGGAGGCGAGGTGAGGCTGAGGCTGAGGTGCGAGAAGGCTGAGGCTGATGCC